CATTTAGAGAATCATATCTGTCGCAGATAACAAAAGTAGCTCTATGCCATACACCCATATGTAAAAGATATCAAACATTTAAATACTCATATCCATTGCAGATGTAAACCCCTCTAGTGCATTTAGAGGTTTTTAGTGTGTTACCGTAATGCAGGCCATACATGGTTCGAATTCTGAACGTTTTTTCATCTGAAAATCGAAAACGTCATTCACTCGGTAATCCAATGGTGCAATTAATGATTTCAAAAATTGGTTGACCAAGTCATAAAGTTCACCCTATATAACAGGCGAAACTTCTGGTTTTTCCAGGCCACGGCTCATGCACATATTCTTTTCAGAAAAACGATCGTACGATTTGACCATCACTAAGTCAAAAATCGGTTGTTTTTAAAAAAATTTCCAACATGTCTGATCACCGAAAAGGGGAGGAACCATGAAAATCAGCTGGTGCTATTAACCCACTAACAGAGCGGCCTTAGAGGCTTGCCAGAAGACTGAGTGTGAGACAGCGTAGGTGTGAGTCAGCAGGGTTATTTCAGATTAGGGCTGGAAGGCTCTGCAGGTCAGTCCTCTTGTACCTCCCTCTGCCCTGGACAGTTGTAGAAGTTTCTAGAATCCAGTAGGCGGAGGTGAGGAGGGTCAGATCTGCATACTTAGAGAAATCTGGCCAATCCCCAGGCAGGAGGCCTAGCAAGGTGGCTAGGTCAGCCTTTAATGACATAGCCTGGTCAGTAGGGAAGTAGGGTGAAAGATGGAGTGAGGAAGTGCAGCTGGTGTGCAGCCTGGGAGGGGGCCCCAGAGGAGGGCGAGTCTACCTACAGGCTGGGAACTGAAAAGAGGGACCTCCACTGTTCCACAGTCTACAGGAAAGGACAGCTTGTCAGCAAGAAAAGAATCCAGCCCAGAAAAAGGCCTGAAAGCAGCTTCACCATTTTAACACTACTTATATCTATGCAGATATCAGGGGTTTCTCTCCTCCTCTCCTCGATGCTACCCCCACAAAGTCCCACTTGTAAGCTGATTTCTAGTTTCTTCCTTGTTATTTTCACTCAGTCCGTTTTCTTCTTAAATGTTCCTTTTTGACATCTGCTGGGTGACCCCCTGATTCTCTCCCTAATGTATAGATCCTTTACAGACCGTCTCCCCCGTCACTTTGCTTATAAACAAACAAATAAAACAACTTGAAAATTGTCTCTAGGAACTCACCTTTCGGTAAAGCGACCACTCTCTTCAGCCCAGGCAAAAAGCTGATGTAATGGTACTCTGTACTTAATACCATGCTCCGAGCGCTTCTTCAACGATGGAATTTGGGGCATTCAGGGGTGTCACCCCTTTGGGCTCTTTTCTCTCTTCATTTCGACCGAGCGAGCGTTTTCTTCCCAAGAGTCTAGGTGGCTTATCTCGTGAGGCTCTCTGCTGCACTCCCCAGCTTCCTCTCAGCCACCTCCACTCTGCCTCACCACCGCTTAGACCGGCTCTCCACTCTCCAAAGCCGCTACCACACCCCCCCGCAATCCAAGAGGGGTTCGTGGTGCCAGGGAACAAGAATCCCTACCAGAGGGACCAAAAACGGAGGTATGTCACCTCTTACTGCTACATCTCCCGGCAGGCTTTCATGGAGCTCTCACAGCTTACTCCCTGCCGGTGCCATCTTCAGGCCCCTCCCCTCTGCACGTTATAGCAGACAAGAACTAGGGAACATCAGTGGAGATCAGTCCAGACTATAATTGGGGATAACCAAATTAAATCAAGGTAAAAGCCCTAATATGGAGGTTGAAGAAGATATAAGAAGCATGGAAGTAGGTTACTCACAAATGCCCACTAAAATGAAAATGGCAGACATGTTCGCGAAATTAGAACTTTCATTAAAAAATGATATGGCAATAATACATAAAGATTGGAAGAGTGGAAGAAACTGAAGAAAAAATTGGACAAACATGCTCAAGCAATAATTGAGTTAAATGGTCAAATGGAAGAAATGCAACGTAGGGTAGAGAAGAATGGACTACCTTTGAGTACTTTAGTGTTTCAAATGCATTATATCATGACCTCCAGATACGATGACCTGATGGTCAAAGGAAGCAAAAGGAAAAGGGAGGAAAGAAGGATAACGTGTAGAGAGAAAAAATATGGGACGGTAGATAGGAATGTTGTTAACTTTACGACATATAATGTAAAAGGTCTGAATACTCTGGTAAAAAGACAAAAGATTCTTAGGGAAATTTATCAATATTCAGCCGATGTAGTCTTTTTACAAGAGACACATTTATGGAGGGAGTCGCGGTATGGGAGGCACGTAAGGCGAAAAAAAGGTCAGAAAGAATAAAGAGGATAATAGAGGAACTAAATGCATTGGAGCAGTTACATAAAAAGAGAATAGAAACTGAAGTACAACATACAATTATTATAAAGAGGGAAGAAATAAGTAATTTATCGGAACAAGAAACAAATAAGGTCTTTAATAGGGTGTTGAGAGAAAGGTATCAGTGGTGGAATAAACCGGGAAAATTTCTGGCAAGGTTAGTCAGGAAAAAGAAATCAATACATTTTATAGAGAAAATTAGAAATGAAACAGGAAAATTAGTTTATCCAACTCAAACAATTGCTAGTGTATTTCAAAAATATTATAATTCCTTAAATGCAGTTAAACCCAAGAATAAAGATCTGGAGGGAGATAGAAACATAAAAACCGGACATATTTAAAAGAGGCTGGACTACCTAGATTAGACCTAGAAAGATTGGCATTGTTAGAAAAACAGATAACACAGGAATAAATGCAAGTTGCACTAAGGACTATAGCAGCAGGAAAGAGCCCGGGACTAGATGGATTCACAGTGAGATATTATAGGAAATGACTGCCAAAAATGAGTATTTACATGAACGCATTGGTAGAAGGAGTACAAATGAAGAAAGAGTCGTTGATGGCACATATTACAATATTGCTTAAAGAAGGCAAAGACTTGTCTCAATATACCAGCTACAGACCAATCTCATTATTAAATGTAGATACGAAACTATGTGCAAAAATTATTGCTAGTATGTTGAAGGATCTAATGCCAGAGCTGATACACTTAGATCAGGTTGGGTTTATACCAGGAAGAGAAGGTAGTAATAATTGATTGAGAGATTTACTACTTCTACAAAAAAAGCAAGAAAGGGAAATCCCTAGTTTTATTCCTGTCAATAGATGCCAAAAAAGCTTTCAACAGGGTAGAAAGGAGATTTATGAGGAGCACTTTAAGGGTGATAGAACTAGGGCCAAAAATGCTTCAGTGGATAAAATCTTTATATTGTCATCTATCCGCAGCAGTAAAGATTACTGGTACATTGTTGGAATCTTTCTAGATGTGCAATAGAATGAGGAAGGGTTGTACACTCTCACCCCTCTTCTTTGTGTTGACTTTGGAGTCTCTTCTAGTAATGATATGGAAAAGTGTAGATATAAAAGGGATTCGTATAGGAGAAGAAGAACATAAAGTGGCGGCGTATGTGGACGATATGTTTTTTTATGTAGTAAATCCTAGAATAACGTTGCCAAACTTAATGCAAACTTTAAAATATTATGGAGAACTATCAAATTTCAAAATGAATCTCGCAAAATTAGATATTTTAGATATCAATCTGGGGTTTGGTAAAGGGTTTGGAAATTTGTAATAAATTGTAGATGATTATGTGTTAAGAAATGTTTGTTTATTTGTAAGATTCAATTAATAAATATAAAATAAAAAAAAAACAATAAGTATTCCTTGCTTCCCTGCAAAATAAATAGGTTTCTGAAGTTTTCTACACCTAACATGGTCAGAACTGGTAAAATGTTTACCAACCCCATCATTCCACCACGTATTATAGGGGCAGAAAGAGAATTAGTTAACCACTTTCAGGTTTAGGTGGAGTAATCTGCAGCCACAATTACTGACAATTACATTAAAATCCTGGCCTATTCTGTATCAATACGCCTGGGCAAGCCGTGACTTTAATGTCATTGTCAGTAATTGCATCTGGAGATTACTCCACTTAAACCTGAAAGTGGTTAACTAGTTCTCTCATTTTGCCTCCCCAGCCCGTGCACACTAAGATATGGGGACCCGGGGAAGTGCTTTTAAAACAGCTGCAGAGTGAAGCATTAGTATATCGGTACCCATAATTTGGGAGTCCCCTCTCTGCCTCCGGACATCCCCTGCTGAATTAGCAAGGTCGGGCCTGGTACAGGAGGGCTGGTGGTACTCCTTGTCAGTGGCCCTGTCCGATGTGCCTCCTCAGATATGAACGTCACATATCCCAGGAGGTATATTTCTTCACTGAGAAAGATGGAGGGGGGCGGGCCTAGTGATGCTTCATTATGAGGACCAGAAGCTGAATTGAAAAGAACCAACAGGCCTCACGATGACGTCTCATAAAAAGATGGCGGAGCGGGACTGAGCTGGGCAGAATTCTGAAAAGATCCTGCAGGACACCACTGGATCTGCTGGGCAGGTGAATATCTGAAAAAGTTACAACCCACAAGAAAGTCTGCAATCAGCTGAAAAAAAAAAAGTGGTGGGGAAGGTGGAGATCCGGAAGCTCCACTTATTTTCCTCCTCCCCCTTCCACTTGCCATATTTGGCGAAGGGGGGAACAGATACCTGGTTTTGACAGGTACCCACTCCCACTTCCGGCATAGTTCGCCACGGCACGAAAAGCGGTACTTTTTTTGCATGGAAATATGTAGTTTTTTTTATTGTAGGCCTGTAATTTTTAGGAATAACTCACTGAAATCTGTCCGAACAAGAGTCTAGTAAACATCCCAGGTATGTTAAAATTTGAAACACAAAATCATAAATTATAATTTAATAAATAATCATAAAAAATAATAATGTAATAATAATACATTTAATTCAATAATATAATCAAACCAAAAACACTGAAATTTGAAATAGAGCGCCAAGTTCGCACATCACTGAGCTTAGTCGCAAAATCGTTTTCAGTGTCTGATGGCGAATTTCCCCACGAATCATTATCACTCAATTCTGCAAGTGGTTCTTATTTACTATCACTGTTCTCTAGCCGGTCTAAAACCGCATTTGACCTAAAGGGATGCTTTTTGGACGCCATGGACTTTTCTCAGTTTCCAGGTAGAAAGAACGGTAAAAATACAGGCAGGGCACAGGACAAAGCACTCGGGACAAAATGTATGTGAAATGGTTTGATACATAATGTTTTACTATGTGATTTTAGTGTATTTAGTGAATGGCACTTTTTGACATTTTTAAATTTCCCACAGTTCCGTCCCCGTACGTCCCGACATCGCAGGGAACGGAACCCGGAAGACAGATGCTGGCATCGGCTGGAGGATAGTGCCGGGGACGCTGCAGGGGGGACATCGCGGGAGCGCAGGACAAGGTAAGTGCAGAAGAGATCCCAGAGCAACGCTGCATGGTATTCCCGAATGTAGCTCGGGGTTACCGGTTGTGGTGCTGAAACTTTACCCCGAGCTACACTCAGGAATACCGCCAGGGATGTTAACTAAAAAAAATCACTAAGGATATTAATAGACATAATGACAAATGTAGTTTGAAAATAAGTTTAAAATGTTTTGCTTTTATCATTCGATCTTGGAGTGTACGGACTTTCCTGTACAAAAACCACATTCACTGCAAGAAAATTTGTTGGTTTCAGAAAAATTTTTCATCCTGCTTCTTCAAATTTTCTCATCACTGTGGTCGAGAATGTATGTTGATCTGACCTCACCAACTATTAGAAAATCGAACAAATGTTCTGAAAATAAAAATTTTTGAAGGAAATTCTACTAGTGTATGGACAGTGTTACTCTCCTCTACAGAATTAATCAGTCACCTTAAGCATTCACACCTAAGCATTTGCTGCCGTGTTTTGCAGAAACGCAGTACAGTCCATTTAACATGACTTCCTATGGGACAGGCTCACATTTCCACATTTTCACCCGGTACATTTTTTGGAAAGGGTCAGGGACTTTTTTGAACGCAAAATGTTTTTGGTTCTATAGACTTCAATGGGAATGCTGCAGAAAAGCACGTATTGTGTTCTTGATGCGTTTTTGCCGCATTGCTGATGCGTTTTGCATTTAAAATCTGCCTAGCAACAAGAAAAATGTAAAAAAAAATTTAAAAACCTGGAGGATGAAGGAATTGATACCATTAAGTGGCCCCCACTCTCGCCTGACCTAAATCCAATAGAAGAACTCTGGAATATCATGTTTCGGTCCATCCGACGCCGCCAGGTTGCACCTCAGACTGTCCAGGAGCTCATTGATGCCCTGGTCTAGATCTAGGAGGAAATACCCCAGGACACCATCCATCATCTTATTAGGAGCATTTCCCGACGTTGTCAGGTATGCATACAAGCACATGGGGGCCATACAAACTACTGAGGACCATTTTGAGTTGCTGCAATGAAATTTCAGCAAAATGGACTGTCCTGCTGCATCATTTTTTCACTTTGATTTTCGGGTGTCTTTGAATTCAGTCCTCTGTAGGTTGATAATTTTCATTTCCATCAAACAATGGGGCATCCTTACGTTACTAACACATTACCAAGTCCATCTCAGTATAGATATCTAGCATGATATTTTTCCCCATTGAGATCTGATGTGTTTTAAAACTGTTCCTTTAATTTTTTGAGCAGTGTATTTATTAAATAAATTATCTCACAATCAGCAGCATTATACCTTCTGAAGTTTCATTAACTTATGATTTTTTTAAGTCTTCTAAAAAAAGAAGGCAACAAACAATGCCTTGAGAATTAGCCACCAGCTGTCAAAAAGCTCAAAAAATACCTTTTATCTGATTCTTTTTTAGAACTGTTTATTGTTTGTGAAGGATAGTAGTTTTAGTAATTGCTTGTGCTAATGGACTACCCACATCAAAAGGCTCCTTGCCTAAAACAATGTGGGACTTGTTTTGTTCTGGTTGCAATTTACACCTCAATTACTTTGTTGACCAGAACAATTTGAAATGTGGGGATCTTCTGCCCCCTACTGCATGTTTTTGTAAGTGTTTGAGCTGCCAAATGTCACAGAGTTATTTATGTACATCATGTTCTGTCTCCAGAGTGCTGGTTTAAATACCCCAGAGGAAGGAAGTAGTGAGGAAGAGTTTTCTTTGAGAGCAGCTGTACTGCTATAAAGGAGCTATTATTTACCCAGACCAGAAACAAGATATATTAGGCAAGTGTCTCTGTTTAAAAGTTTACTATTGTTCTGAGTATATGAGTATATACGAGGGTTCTTCAAAAAGTTTCCACTTTTTTAAATTCTATTTTGTAAGATATATATATATATATATATATATATATATATATATATATATATATAAAAAAAACAGAAGTATGTTTGTCCCAGGGGCGGACTGACCATTTGGAAACCCGGGTACTGCTTTTTTGAGTTTGGGCAAGGACACAGGGGCCCCATGATCCCCTATTGCCTGGGGGCCCCATGAGTTGTCAGTCCACCCCTGGTTTGTCCCCTTGTTTTCTCACATGCACTATACCAAATAGCCAGCTCTGTGATTTGGTGTGCATACAGTGGGAAAATAAATTATATGATCCCCTGCAAATTTTCTAAGTTTGCCCACTTACAAAGAAATGAAAGGTCTATATTTTTATCATAGGTGTATTTTAAATGACAGAGACAAAATATCAACCAAGAATCCAGAAAAAACACATAATACAACTGTTATAAATTGAGTTGCAGTTAAGTGAGTAAAAAAGGTATTTGATCCCCTACCAACAAACAATAATTCTGGCTCCCACAGACTGGCTATGTGCTCATGTGGTACACAGATTAGTCCTGTCAATTTAGGAAGGTGTTCCTAACAACAATTAGTTATGTGCATAAAAGACACCTGTCCACAGAATCTCTTTCTTCCTTTCAAACCTCACCACCATGGGCAAGACCAAAGAGCTGTCAAAGGACGTCAGGGACAAGATTGTAGACCTGCACAAGGCTGTAATGGGCTACAAGACCTTCAGCAAGAATCTTGGTGAGAAGGAGACAACTGTTGTAGCAATTATTCGCAAATGGAAGAAGTACAAAATAACTATCAATCGCCCTCTGTCTGGAGCTCCATGCAAGATTTCTCCTCATGGGGTAAGGACAATCATGAGAAAAGTGAGGGATCAGCACAGAACTACACAGGAGGAGCTTGTGAATGATCTCAAGGCAGTTGGGACCACAGTCACCAAACAAACCATTGGTAACATAATATGCCGTCGTGGATTGAAATCCTGCAGCACCCACAAGCTCCCCCTCCTCAAGAAGGCACATGCACAGGCCAGTCTGATGTTAGCAATGAACATCTAAATCAGGGGTGGAGGGGTGGAGATCTACCTGAACAACATGGGAGAAATCAAAGATCACTGGGCACAATGTCGCCTTCTCACACCTGATTTAAACGTCTAATTGTCATACTATTGTGTCGCAATCGCGAGCATTGCACGGCAATCATGAGCTTAAATCAGGTTGTGAGGAAGCAACTTATCGCCTCGTCACCACCTGTCAAACACACTCAAATTGCTTTTCAGAGGAGCAGGAGTGAATGAGCCCTTAGTTGCAATCAGCAGCAGCACCCTTAGGGCTCATTCACACATAAAGTTGGGGGGTTGTAAAGCCTTGTGGTTGAGTCATAGTTTTTACCACCCCCAATCCCTACCCTCCCTAAAGATGCCCTTCTTCACAGCTCCGGACATTCCCGGGAATGAGAGTCCGGCTCTACATACACCATCAAGCAGCCCGCAGCCTCTCTTGGATCCCACCTGTTTCCCATGGTGTGCGTGTCCCTTCTTCCATCCCTTATTCTGGGGGGAGGTGCTGCCCCCCCTGAAAAATGCCACCCTAGGCAAGTGCCTTGTTTGCTTTGTGTTAAATATGTTCCTGGGTGTACCCCTGCCAAACATGACCCTATTCAAGTGAATGAGGTCGCTCTGCAAGTGCCCTGCAACCTTGTGCAGTACAGCAAACAGGTGGGTTAAAGCAGGCAGCATTGTGTTTCTCTCTACCTACTTTAACCCCTTAGACTCCAGAAGCCTGCAGATATGGGGTGCTTGCAGAGTGGCCCTTTTTATTTGAATGGGTTGTGATTGGCAGGTGGTAGCACCCACCAAAAGCAAAAGTCCTGCCTCAGGATTGGGTTCAACTTTTGGATTTGTACACGTTATATCTTATCTGTCTCTATCTATCTTTCGTACGTGCTCCTCTCCGATTATTGGCAGTACAGTGAGTGCTGGGTGTGTGTTAAAAAAAAAAGTAAAAATAAAATAGAAAAAATGTAAATAAGAAAATTGTTTTATTGAGTTAATGTTATATCGTTACTGTGTGTTATTGTTAACTGTTGTGGTTTGCCTGGCAGGAACACAATCAGCTGCAGCACTGATCTGTATATTCTAAAGCAGCAGGGTGCTGCTCTCAGAATACATACATCAGTGCCTGCAGTGCTGCATGAGGATAGTTCTCAAGAAAAAAAAAAAAAGAATGTGTATGCAAAAATGCATATAATTTTTTACATTTTTATCTGGCAAAGATTTCTTCATCCACATCGATCGACGTGAATGGAGGAATCTGTAAGGTTCCTTTTTTCTGTGATTCAGCTGTGTCTGTTTCTGCTAATGGCTTATGATGCATATAAACCCAATGGATGTGACCATTCCCACCTCTACAACTAGGCCGTATGCAAGTGAAACGTGTCAGTGGGGGATGGAGGGGTTATGGAAGGAGACATATCTGAAGCTGGCATTTCACTACTGTGGTTAAACTTAACAATGCTTGGCCCCAGCCCAATACATGGAGAATTACATAGAGTAAGGTGTGCTCTGCAGGAGGGCGGCACCAGTTGTTGAAGCTGACAAGTCATTTGCACAGAGGCATTTGAGTGGTGCTACTTTAATACCACACTCTTGAGATAAACATAAAATAGAGTAGAACCTTTTTTTTTTATACACTTTAATAAGCAAAACAATAACAAAAAAATTGTTTTTGATAAAATTTCCAATTTGATATTTTAGAAGCAAATTCAAATCCCCTTAATTCACTATGCTCCTCCCTAATCCAAAATAGTGTAAGACCTATGTATCTATGTTTGTATGGTGCTTTAGCACTTAAAAGTGGGAGAGTGCCCAGTAAGGCAAAGTATGTCCCATCAGCAACTTTTTCATTTTGCTGAACGTTCTTTTATGTCTTTTTCTAGTTTAATTTAATGTATAGTTTTATTTTTCTGCATTTTGGAAGAAGAAGAAAATGCCAGCACTGTATTAAAGTACAGGTCTGCTCAGTTTCTACATTATGATGAGGCTTTTATGATCCCACAGTAGCATTTATTTTTCCTAATAAAGACATTTACAACACACTTTGTCAAATGTCATGTGTGTTGGCTTGTGTGACCAGGTTAGCTATTATTCTATAAATACTGTGGCAGTGGCTATAATATAAAAATTTCACATGTCAGATGACCTGACACCAGAAGCATTCACTTTCCAGGTCATTGACTATCAACAAC